ACACGGCTCCGGGGGGGTGAACAAAGGCCTTCTGTAGCGAATCGATGCGTTTTTGTAAGAAAAATATCAATTTTCAAATGTAATAATCACTTTAATGTAGCTTGCGCCAAATGTTGTACACAGAAGCAGTTCCGGGAGCATGACGTATGAGGTCAGCGTTGCGCATGCGCCAGTGAGTCTCGTGAAAACCAACGTTTGTTAACAGGAGCAAAGGAAGCAAAGTTTCCTTACTTTAGCAAAGGAAAACCAGTCTCCTCTTGGCTTATATCAAAATCCTCCGACATTCTTCTTTACAAATCCTCGTTTTGTACTTCTAATTAGTGACCGTTGTTTTGTTTTGATCTCTCCGCTGTGCTTCCGCGTGTCACTTCTGAGCGGCGCATGCGCAAAGCCGACCTCATACGTCATTCCCCCAGAACTGCTTGTTTACAACAGTGAGCGCAAGCTAGATTCAAGTGATTATTACGTTTTGAATATGGATATTTTTCTTACAAAAAAAAAACGCATCGATTCGCTACAGAAGGCCTTTGTTCACCCCCCGGAGCTGTGTGAGACACTTTTTTTTATGGATGGGCGATTTTTATTTAAGTTCTTTTGGACAGAAGCAATGCAACACCCACTGAGTGGCATTAAACAGCTTGAAAGATCAAAGACAATTTTTAATATAACTCCGACTGGATTTGTCTGAAAGAAGAAAGTCATGTACACCTAGGATGCCTCTGGGGTGAGTAAAACGCAGCCTAATTTTCATTTTTGGGTGAACTAACCCTTTAAGCAGCAAATCAGCATATTACACTGATTCCTGAAGGATCATGTGACACTGAAGACTGGAGTAATGAACATTCAGCTTTGCCATTACAGGAATAAACTACATTTTAAATGACATTAAAACAGTTCTTTTAAACTAATAATATTTCACAATATTACTGTTCGTACTGTATTTTTATCATCAAATAAATGCAGCCCTGGCAAGCATAAGAGACTTTCAAAAACATTAGAAAAAATGACCAATCCCAAACTTTTGAACAGTAATCTATGTATTCAATTACACATTTAATTATTTGCTAAAAGGACAATTCAGATCGATTTTAAGCTCACATAACACATTTTTGTGAAAGAATTATTTTAAATGTTTAAACAATAGTTGCACATTTATGTTTTGGAATGCCTTGATTCATAGTACATTACTATAAACATGACTTCTGTTTGTATTTATAAACAGGAACAATCAAAACTATTTTCCATTGTTATCGAAAGCACGCCGCAGCATGCCACTTGTTTTAAACCCAGAACATTCCTTTAATGAGACTACAAAGCAATAACCAAACAGTATTTGAGAAAAATGCAATATGATTAAAAAAAGACATTAAAAAGGATGCTGGGGGTTTAGAGAGGTACTTGTTTCTTTGAAGGTCAGATGCTTCATAGCGGTCAGTATTCAATATCTTCTTGAAAATTCAAGCTATGTAATATAATTTTCCTGCTCAGGGCTTCAATCCAAAATCGGTTGCCAGTGCAGTGCAAGTCATGCAGGATTACTTCATATTGGCACTTTAATACTTACTGGAAAGGTGCAACAGAACCAGGCGGCAGTGCATAAGTTGATTCTTTGGTCTGTTTATTGTAGAAAAACTTTCTTTTAGAACTTTTGCTGAACGCCATTGTCCAAGGGTCTGTCAAAAAGAGATCAAATATTTGACAAATTCATCTTTAACAAGGCACTCCACTAATATTATCCTTATTATTTTCTCCCTCTCTCTCACCGTTAACTGTTTTGATGATGTAAAGGCCACTGGGGAGGAAGTGACGGTCATCTCTGCCCGTGTATGACAGTCTTGGCATCCCTCCCGAGCTCTTGGTTACCTTCATTTCCAACCTGAGGGGAAAAAAATACAAATAATATTAAGTAAAATAGTAATATACAATTAAAATAATAATAATAATCTAATGGTGGAACGCACCTCACAAAGATCTTCTCCATCTCCTCTAACCTATAGACTTCCTTCACACTAAAAAATAAAAAAGAGAGAGAGAATGAATGAGGTTGAAACAGCAAGCATACTGACTTGCAGTATCATCATAAACATGAAAGATCCTGTCTAGACTCTAGTAATACACAGTATCTTCATTAATTTTACATACTGCACCCTCCGGTGTTCATAGGACTTCCTGGCCCTCCGGGCTGTCACTGACATAGCAATTAGCACAACCGCAAAGCGAAAGGAATATTACCGGATGGGGTTCATGTCTGGCCTGCTGGGTTTGGACACAGCTTTCACAAACTTCTCCGCCATCTGGATTCTGCACCAAAAAAAAACCATACATTTTACATTTATGGTTTGCATTTAGATGATAATAGACCCTAATCAAAAGCAACTAAAGCTGATTTGTGAGGTCAAAATATCAATCATATCTGGAGGACAAGATATCGAATGGGAAACATAACTCTAATAATATAAGGATATAATAACTGTATACAAAAAATACTGACGTTAATTGAAAGTTGTTGTTTTTAAACAGCATTTCTGCAGGTTTTATAAAGGTAAACGTAAGACTTTTTAAGATCTTTGTAAGACTAAGTAAAAAGATTTTAAGAATCTATTGAATGGAACACAATACATCAATATGGTTTCTAAATGTCTTGCATTAGCAAGACTTCAGCGTTTCCCTAGTTCCTCTGCTCTCAACCACTAGAATGTGGAAATAACTTTTACTGTACCTTCTGATTACAATGAATAAAAATAATAATAATTTTCATCAGTAATTTTGCCTTGTTTTCCAGTGCAAATGTCTAAAGATTCTTAAATCAAAATACATTTACTTGAGAAGCAAAATGGCATTAGATAAAAAGTCTTGTTTTCTGAGAAAATTATCAAAATGAAGCGAGTTAATGATTAAAACAAGAACAAATATCTGTCAATACACAACTTCAAAATCAATTTAAAGGGAAAACAAGTTTTCATACCCCATTGACAGATTTTTGTTCTTGTTTAAAGCATAAGCTCACTTCATTTTGTTATGTTTCTCAGAAAACAGGGCATCACATCTTCAAACTGCATCTCAAGTAAATGCTGATTTAATGATGTTTAGATATTTGTATTGGAAAACAAAACATACATTTGAAGTTCATGCACATTTTAATTCCATGACATTATGAATTTAAGATTTTCTTCTCCAATTTGAGACCTTTTAAAGTCTTTTAAATAATAATGTATTATAGCAATGTTTTCGCACAAACTGTATCTTAGTGGAAGGATTGCACTTTATAAACCTGCTTAATAAAATAACTTCTTAATGAAAAATTACTCCTTTTTTGATTTTGTAGTTAGAGTAAGACAGGAGAAATACATCAAAATGATTTCTACATGTAATCATTTGGGAATAAGTTCTGCAAAAGACCTCTGGTTGAAGTGCTGATCTCTGACATCAGTGCCGTTGAGAACAAGAGCATCGAGAACGTGCACAGCGTTGATCCTTCTCTGGGCTTTTCCCTACAAGCACACAATAAAAAACTTCTTACAAGCATGCATGTCATTATTTTACTGAAATAACACAAGAGCTCTTTTCCCCTTGCAGTATTAATGTAAAGCTGTCATTCAACACAGTTCTCTCTACTCTCAATTACTGTTGTACTAATTCTTTCTGTTCACCTCTCCCTTCAGCTCCTGGACGATCTCTACGCTCAACAGTGTGTCTCTGGGCAGCTCCAGTTTGAAGTTCTCCAGCTTCTTCCAGCGTAACGGGGCTTTGCCGTCCCACGTGTAGATCTGAGATCTCTGCATACACAAACAGTTCAGGTTTTTCACTCTTTAAGCAATATATAAGGATATATATGACCACAACATAATATAAATTTAGCCTAAATTACATAAATATCACATTCATAGACATATTCCTTACCCCAAGTCCCAGGAGAAAGAGCTGTTCTCCTCCTCCCACAATGCACCTGTAGTCCAGTACGTGCTGTAGTTTATCCAGATTTCCTGAGTTCAGTGCAGTTGGTCGGGAACTAAAACTGTCCATATCTGAGCCCTGAGATAGAAAGACAGAGATAGAAATACATTTATATTTGATTTATATCAAATTTAAACTATTTTAATCTGTTAATTAATTGTCAGCTTGCCACTCTTGGCACTCTTTTTTATTACCTTTTTTCCTTATCATATATTTAAGTAATAATCCTAAATTAGATATCACTTGAAAGCTTAAACACTCAAAATGCGTCCTGTGAAAGCTGTTTTTAAATCGGACATTGCGTTACCATGGAAATGGTACTTAAAATCCATTTAGCGGGCTCCTCCCCCTTGTGGGCTGTGTCATATTACAAAATTTACTACAGTATTTTATAATCAAAACTTTTTCTAATCTTGACAGAACACATATCGTTGGAAAGGTCGGAGTCTCAAGATTCCAATTAACAGAAGTAATATTGTGAGAGAAATCTATAAATTTGTGACAGGAAAATACAAAAAAAACTCACAAGAACCTCCATTTTTGTGATATCAACTTCAAATTTGGAACATAACTCACTTAGATATATTTAGATTTTACAGCCATTTTAGATTCTAAAATATTTTGTAAAATATTTATTTTAGATAAAATGAAACAAATTTAGTACAGTACATTTTCTTCACAGTAAACAAACTGTACAATTTAACCTCCATTTTTGTGATATCAACTTCAAATTTGGAACATAACTCACTTAGATATATTACATAAATATCACATTCATAGACATATTTGATAAAAATATATATATCAATTATGTCATTGGAAAACATCCAAAAAACGTTTTAAATTTTTTTTTTGTTAATTTATTTTAACAAAAAATAATTTATTTTGTTTCCTTTTTATTATGACCCTGACATTACAGACTTCATGTGATTCACCCACTTAGCTCTTCTATTCTAGAACATCACATCCACAAGAGCATTACCACATTCCCAGCTAACTTCTCAAAGCCCACACACACACATTATTACCTTCACGAGCTCAGAGAACTTTGCTTTCGGATCTGATGTTGGATGAGTGACTCTGGCTTTATCAGGAATCTGCACAAAGATGAAGACGTTCAAGGTCTCAATCATTCAAATCGGCATCAGTTTGTCCTTACACATACCTACACAAAACAATGCTCTTTGAAATCTTTCAGACACCACCGCAAAGCACTAAACTAAACCTCAGTCCACTATGAAGCTCGTGGTTATTGTTTTTGGACTCACCCCCCACAGTTTGAGACATTCTTTGCGGATATCTGCTTGCCTGGGCTCAAACAGTGTCCTACAAAGACACACAGCATTGTCAGTTATGCTTATACAGACTCAGACATGTGCACACAAACAAATAAAAGAGCGTTTGAGATGAATGCCCTGAAACACACCAGAGGAAGAATGTGTGACTCACGTATCTCTGACGTACGCGTGGATCTTAGCCAGCGCTTTGATTTGTACTGCACAATGGCTGCAAGACAAGGGATCAGAGTTCAATAAATAAACCTAAGCATGAATGAATGCATCGAGAGAGCCAGGGAGAAAGACAAAAAAAAGGGTCATAAAGCGATGACGGTACCTTTCATTGGAGTTGATCATGAATTGGAAGAAGTCAGTGTCTCCTTTAATGATGTCCAGAGGGACGACTTCAGTAACGTCTCTGTCTGAGTGTCTGAATTGATTCAGTTTCAGGTTGATGGTGAACATGTATTCTCTGACAGCATCGGTGCCTGGCTTTAAACTCTTGCACACCACATATCTGCAAGCAGACAGCAGTAAAAATCAGTCACTAATGCTCATGCTCAATAATCAACTGTAACATAATAATGTGACGTTACTCAAAAATGTTACTTTTTCTGTATAAGCATAATAATAATAATAATAGTGTGTACAATAAGACCAGGAATGTGCATTAAACTAAGTAAATAGGGTAAAATTTTGAGTTTTACAGTTTTATTATTAAAAAAGTCCCACTATGCCAGTGCAAATATATCAGAATTGATCTAAAAAAAAAAATCAATAATCAATAGAATCAATAGAAACAAACAATGAATCATACACTACTAGCCAAATGTTTAGAATAATTATGGTCACCAAGTTTGCATTTACTTGATTACAAATACAGCAATATTGTGAAATATTATTGCAATGTAAAATAA